CCATACCTGCAGCAGCATGTCCCCCGGCTCGATGCGCCCGTCGGCCGCCACCGCCCCTCCCTTCATGATGGAGCCGATGTAAATGCCGCCGTCACCGCGGTCGTTGCTCTGGCCCACGATGCTGATGCCCAAAAAGTTGTACTTTTCTGTAGGGAGACGAAGGGGAGGGGAAAAACCCAAAAATGGTTGGAACAACGGCAAAACATCCCCCAAAGATGGCACAACATCCCCCAAAGCATCAGTGGGGCCAGGTGGGAGTGCAGCGAGCTCGGGCTGCTCTAACGGGAATATTTGCCTGGCACCTTCAAAGGAGAGGGTGAAAAAATGGGATTTATTCATCCAGGAGAGTGTTCTGTTCAAAAAAAATCCAGGAAGAGGGAAAAAGTGATAAAAATGGGATTTTTTCATCCAGGACTCTGTTTCATTAAAAAAAACAAGAGGGAGAGGCTGCTAAAAACAGGACTTTTTCATCCAAGACATGTTACATTAAAAATTCATCTCCATCACAAAATCCATCTCCACCACAAAACCCATCTCCACCACTCAAAATCCATCTCCACCACACAAAATCCATCTCCACCACAAAATCCATCTCCACCACCAAATCCACCGCCACCACCAAATCCATCTCCACCATGGAAATTCTTGGTGAAAAAGGTCCCAAATTCTCTTACCCATGTTGAGCGTGACGGTGATGATGTTCAGGGACATGGTGGAGTCGGTGATGCTGCTGAACGAAGACGACTGCAAAAAACACAACGGGAAAATCTAACGTTTTTCAATGATTCAGGGGAAAAATTATTGAGGATTAATTCATCAGGAATTATTAATGGGTTTCCAATTGAAATGGATTATCAGGAATTATTAATAGGTTTCCAAATAAGAATTATTAATGAGTTTCCAATTGAAATGGATTCTAAAGAATTATTAATAGCTTTCCAAATCAGGAATTATTAATGGGTTTCCAATTGAAAGGGATTATCAGGAATTAATAGGTTTCCAATTGAAATGGATTATCAGGAATTATTAACAGGTTAAATCAGGAATTGTTAATAGGTTTCCAAATCAGGAATTATTAACGGGTTTCCTACAAACAGACACTCTCCTACCTCCAAATCGAAACACAAACACAGTTATCAAAGATCTCCTAAAACATTTTCCTGCACTGAAATGTTCTTGAATGTGTGAAAAATGAGATTTATGGGAGAGGGAGGTTTATGGGAGCCTCACCCTGTCGATCTGCCTCATCCTCTGCTTCCTCCTCCGGCGTTTGTGCTTTCGGATGAGCCGTGACGAGGTGCTCTGCTCTGTGGAGCTGCTCAGCCTGGGGGGGAAACACCAAAAATCACCCCTGGGAAGCTCCAAAAGGGCCCTCAATGCTCATTTTTGGGGAGCCTTGCAGAATTTTTGGGATTCCTGTTGTTATTTTCTTCCACTGCTACCAAGAATTCAAGGCTTGATATGATTCTTTGAAGAAATCATATAAAAATTGATAATGGAGAAYGGTGAATATGATTTATCATCACATCTCATGCTGGTTTTTTGTTTCGCTGTGGGGGTTCCAAGGTGCCTCAGTGGGGAAAAAAAAAGGAAATGAATGGAAAATGAAAAAAGAAAATTTAAAAAATAGGACGGAGGGGAAAACGGGGGGGAAAAGAGAAGGTGAAATCAGAAAAGGCCTGAGAGGAGATGGAAATTTGGGATGGGATGGGATGGGATGGGATGGGATGG